TTTTATACTCATCATGCCACTAACAAATCCCTGTCTTCTTTTTCCATTAAAAAATATGGGATGAACTGTTTTTTCTTCCAATGCCACTAACAAATGTTGTTTTTATTCTACTAATATGTGCTTTATGATTTTAGTTTTATTAATTATTTTTATATGATTGAGAAAGATGAGGAGAACCTATCTCTTTCTCTCTTTCTTTTTGCCCAATGAACCTTGAATATAATTTTACCTCATTGTTTTTTAATTTTAAATTATAATTTTAGGTAATGATGGATTTGAAATATTCTTTTTACCCTTTTTATACCACTACTAATTCTTATCTTCTCTTACCATATAAAAATGGGATGTTATAGTGTCTCATTATGCTGCTAACTAATCCTTATCTTTTCTAACTATGATTCTATATAAACAAAACATAACATAACCTTTAGTTAGATCTTAACTAATTGTCTGATTATTAAAAATTATTTTTCAAGAAGTAAGATTAAAACTTATTATAACATCATCAACAAAAGTAATCATCACTCGATCTTAAGAATTAAATTGTATAATTTTGTTAAGTTTATAGAAGACAAAGGAGTGAATTTTTTTACGTATGAATACCAAGTTAGTACCAGTGCAGATTTGATAACCTAAGAATAATACAATTTTTTTTTTTTAAAAGAGGAAACTTCCTCGTACACAGGAGTTTTGAGAACGATGGATGCAGGGGTGGAACCAGAATTTTTTTTCAGGGGGACGGAATAATTTTTTATATATTAATTGATAAAATTTTTAAATTTCAAAGAAAGTAAAATGATTTTTCATATACTAATTTGTAAAGATATTCAAATTTTAGGGAGGCGCCGCCCCTGGATGGATGCATTTTGAAAAAAGATTAGGCATAGATCCTATCTTATCTTCAAAAAAAATTTTATAATTTTAAAATTTTTTATATGTAAGTCTTACTCATTAAAAAAATATATTATATAAAAAATTTAATAGACCATACCAATAATACAACCTGATTCTGCCCCTGGTTGTTAGGCCTCAACATTTGCATCTTTAGTGAAGGCCTCATAGGCAACAAAGGAGATGAATTAAAATACAAAAGAAAAATATTTTTATAAAAAGAAGTGCGGCCTCTTTGGACATTTTGAATCAAAGAGAGAAAACAAGACAAAATGATAAGACAATTGTTTTTCCACCATATAATTTGGTCAAGGTGGTCTTATTGTGGTTCCCATAGAAAGACAAAACGTGGTCAAAGTTGTTACTTGTTGTAATAAAAATTAAGCCATTATTATGTGCTTCTTTATTGAATTACAGACTATGAAACCTACTAACCCAAGGATTTGATGATGGGTTTACAAATTGTCTCAAGGATCTTAAAATGTAAGATAAATTTGTTGTACCCAAAAACTTTTAAAAACTTATAAATCAAAATTTTAAACTAAACAAATGTTTATTGTCAAAAACTGGTCTAGCAAAGCTCATAAACAATCAGACTCAAGCATGATTTGTTCAAGAAATTTGTCGAGCATTACTTTTCAAGCTCAAATTGGATTCATCTAGAAAATAATAGAATTTGTACTTGAGCTCAACTCATCAAACAAAACATTCAAATTCATTCTCGAGTTCAAATTCAATCAATTTTAATCTTGAGTTTTATAGTATAATAAAAAGGTTAATATAGATGATTTGTTTTTTGACGCCATCTTGAGGTTAACTTAAATGCAAGGCTTGTTCACAAAAACGAGGTAATTTGCAAGTTCTTGAATATAAGAAGAAATTGAAGATAGATCTCAACAAATCTGTTCTCTAGATGTAAGCCTGACATATTATTTACTTTTATAATGGAAGTTGTCCAAAGATAATGGTAGGACAAAAATTCCAACTCTATCCTTTATTTATTACAGTATAGTATTAATATAAATACCAAATTGCAAGCTTTATTGTGCCCATTATGCTACTAACTAATCCTTGTCTTCTTTCAACATAAAAAATTGAAATGAATTGTTTTTACCCATATTGCCACTAACAAATCCTTGTTTTTATTCTACTAGTTATGTGGTTAATTAATGTTTTTACTTCTATTACAAAATTCTACCTTATTTAACAACTTTTGTCTTATTGAGAAAGGGGAAGAGATCCTATCTTTTTCTCTCTTTCCTTTTGACAAAATAGAACCTTGAATATAATTTTTTTCTCATTGTTTTTTAATTCTTGATTATAATGTTAGATAAAGAGGGATTTGAAATTTGCTTTTATCCTTATATATTGTGTCACTACTAATTTTTATCTTCTCTAACAAG